CATGAGGAGGGCAGGTGAAGGTTAGCGGGGCGAGGCAGGTGGGGGAGGTTGGGGAAGAAAGGTGGGATCTGATCCGGGACGAAATTGGTGTAGGCGGCGCAATTTAAGTAGTCGCCGTGCCTTGCGCCTTCCTCGTGAAGGTAGTGCCGCCTTTCGTCAATATTCTGCCGCAGGCGAGGAAGATGGGTAGGCAGGTGCGCTCGTTGTGAGATGAACAGGTCGCACGGTCAGCCGTTGTAATGTGGGCCCGACCTTGAGGCATGGCCTCCGTCTAGTGGCGTCCAGGTGGGGTAATCCTGGTTCGTTCGGAGAAGGTCGAGTCGTGTGAGTGGACGAGGTCGTTTGGAGCGTAGGTCGGAGGCTGGGAGGACGTGGTAGGTTATGTTGTGACGGCGTCGGGCGCGTGGGCACCACTTTCGGCCGTCCAGGCCTATATGGGTGATGGCGAGGATGGCTATCGACAGTGATTCGGGGCGTAGTTGGTTGACGTAGTCGTTGAGCTTGCCGAGGAACTTGGAAGCGGAGTCCTTGGCCGTGGTGATATCCTTGTGGACGTCGAGGGCCTGGTTGTAGCAGACCTGTGGTTTCCCTACCATCGTGGTGAGGATGTCGAGCTTCTCCTGGATGTCGTTGTGGTGGGAGCGGTATTCGGTGATGATGCCTGATAGCAGGGCTTGCTTGGTACTTCGCACGTTGTTGGTCTGAATGATGGTACCTCGTGCCCATATGATCTTATTGCTGTTGTTGGGCATACTGAGGACTGCCACCTCGTCGCCCTCATGCGATGGAGTCCTCCAGCTTGGCGTGGTACGAATGGCGTATGTAATTCCCATGGGGAAGATGATTCTGTCGGGGTTGACCTTCTCGTAGGTGATCGTCGTGATGGAGAACCATCCAATGGGCTTGTGTGGCTCGGCTTGTATGGCAGGTGGTTGGTTGCCATTTGCTGCGGGGGTGCTGTAACTTGACGTCGGGTCGCAGCTGCTGGATTCGGTGTTGTGCATATGTTGTTCCCGTGGATCGTGCTCCTGCTGTGCGGTCTTGCCCTCGTAGTCGATCTTGCCCTTTGGCTGTTTTGCCGTGTCTTCCTTGACGGTCGGCAGGGTAGATGGGGATTTGAATATCACTGGTTTCGTTCCTTAGATGGTCCCACTTTGAGGGGATGCTTTGTGATCTGGGTTGGGAAACGCCTGTGAGGGTGTGATTGCTGACGTTGCGCTGGTGAATGTGCTCGTAGGTATGGCAGTGTCCGATAGGTCGGCTGTGTTATGGATTGTGGTCATCATTGTAGTTTCCTCCCTGTGGGTTCTTTCTTCCTGTGAGGATGGTTTTCTCGTCGGTAGTATCTCGTTGCAGATGTCGCGCTCGAAGGTGTTGTGGTCGTCGTATGGTGCCAGGATTGGTTTGGGGCTTACGTATCTGCTTGATGCGGTGGGTGATGTGGCTTGCGCGTGGAGGGTGTGGGCCTCCCTCTCGTATGGGTGCGACCCCCCTCCTCGTCATCCCCCTCCTCCTCCTCCTCCTCCTCCTCCTCCTCCTCCTCCTCCTCCTCCTCGTCATCCCCCTCCTCCTCCTCCTCCTCCTCTTCCTCCTCCTCCTCCTCCTCCTCCTACTCCTCCCCTCCCTTCTCCTCCTCCTCTTCCTTCTCCTCCTCTTCCTCCTTTTCCTCTTCCTCCTCATCCTCCTCCTTCTCCTTCTCCTCCTCCTCCTCTGCATTCCTCCTCCTCCTCCTCCTCGTCATTCTCCTTCTCCTCTCCCCCCCCGCTGCCCCTCCCTTCCCCTTTCCCCGCCTTTTCAAGGCCTTCCAAACAGGGTTCGTTTAGATGTCTCCGATTCGATTCGATTCGACTTCGATGACTTCCGATGCCGATTCGATCCCGCCGGGGATTGCGGTTGGGGTTCCGATATTTCATTGGAGCCTCATTACTCTGCCGATTTCCGCCGATTCGACTTCTCCCCGACTCGGCTGCTGATCTTCCCCGATCCGATTGATTTCGATCGCCGATCCGACTCATCGATTCGATCCTGGGCTCTCCTGCCCAACCGGGGCGGGCCCTGGACCTGGAGTCGCTCCAGAGTGATCCGGAACGCTTTCGGAGCCTTCTCGCTCTTTCTCCGCTTCCCTCGGAGGAGGAAGATGTACCCATACCACCACCCACCCTTCCCCCGTTTTCCCCTTTTCGGGCCTCCTGAGAGGCCCTCGTCGCCACCGCTGGATTCGCCTCGAAGTCTTTGTGAGAACGCACCCGGGGAGAGGTCTGAGGCGCAGCGGTATCGCTACCTTTTGGTTTCCTCATTCCCCTTCTGCAAAGCCGCAATGGCGTTCAACGAACTGCGGTTGCGAAGGCGAAGGCTTTACGGCCGATGCCGCCGACCCTGAACGGGGACGGCCTTACTGCCGCCGCCGACGACGACGACAATGGCGGCCGCGACGGCGACGATGACGATGACGACGCTGGCGTGGGCCAGGGGGATGTTTCTTGGGTCTCTTCGGCAGGCTCTCGGGGGCCTCTGTGAGGAATTCTGCGGCCTCTTGGGAGCCTCACGTGGGCCTCTTGTGAGCCTCTTGGGGCCTCTTCGAGCTCCCTGGGGACCTCTTGTGGGTCTCTTGGGGCCTGCTGGGAACCTCTTGGGCCCTCCTGGTGGAACCTCTCGGGGCCGAGGGCTCGAAATTATGGCGTTCCACGAACTGCGATGTCACAGCGGACTTCGGCGGCGTGCTCGTGGAGCGTTTGCGGTCCAGAAGACTCGGCCACGCGCAGAGGGGAGTAGGGGGAGGGGGGAAGGCTTCTCAGAAACACCCTTGCTTCTCAGAAGTCGCAGGCATCATCTGCGGATGTAAGGCCAGCGCCTTCTAAGAAACAGTTTCCTTCTAAGCAGCCTTCCCCCCTCCCCCTACGGTAGGTTCATGTCGTGTCGACCGGCGGCGATCCTGTCAGCGGCGTTCAATTTTGAACGCTGCGGGCGACCCATAATCATTCGATGTGGAACGATTTGGAGATTTCGGGAACGGCCGATCGTTCAAGGTTGATGGATCCCCGCGATGTCAGAAACCAACGTCGGGGTCGTCACGACACGAACCTGCAGTACCCCCCCCTCTGCGCGCCGCCAACTCCTCTGAGCAAGGGCCAGGTCTCTCTCTCGAGAGATTACCAGCTGGAGGCATATCCCTATCCCTACGTTTTGCACCACCTTGCCTCGGTGCTGATCTCAAGGGTTCCCCCGGCTTCTGAGGGCAGATCCCTAAGATTGTCATCGCCTTGGGCTTGCCGATCTTACGGATAATAATAAGTTCGAGGCTGGTTCAGAGAGGGGCCGCCCCCGCGCAGAGGGGGCCCGCAAGAAGCCCTGGCCGCACGTCGCAAGGGGCGGGGGGGCACACGGCCGAGAGAGCGCAGCCGGGGCTCCGCCACGACGGCGACGTCGCCGACGACGCCGACGTCGACGACGACGATCGACGACGACGACGACGACGACGACGACGACGACGAAGACGATCATCGACGACGACGATCGACGGCGACGCAGAGAAGCCAGCTCTGCGGGGCCCAAGAGGCCCAGACATGATCGCGTCGTGAAGCAAAACATCAGGGCGAAGACCGCTTTCGGCCTCGGAAGGCCCTGGCCAGGCCTCGGGACCTTCAGAACACGACTGGGGATGAATGAAGAAGCGGTCCTGGGGGAAGGGTCGGGACTTCCGAGGAGCCCGTTTTGGAAACATCTGGGCGTCCATGCCTGAGGACGGGGGTCAAAGCAAATGGGGGTCATTCATAGCGTCGGATCCTGTGGGGTCCTGCAGGATCCTACAGCATCATGCGAGGCCTGACCCGGGTCAGAAGATCCCCGAGTTTTGCATAGACATCTTTCGGGTCAATCGAGATGTGCACGGATAGATGATAGTTTTTATGTATTATTTTGCCGATCGGCGCGGGCCCTCGCCCCCCCTCCCCGTGGAGTAGAGCCTGGCTGTTTTTGGCGCCTGTTTTGAGCAGGTGGAGTCTCCCCCGAAGGACGCACAGTACCACACAGTTGCACTAAGCAGAGGTCCGGAGCCAGACCCCCCCCCCTCCCCGCCCCCTTCCGCCCAGTGTCGAAAAGCCAAATAGAAAACGGTCACGAGAACGGGCACAGAGACCGACAGCAGTTCCTGCTCGTTCTGAGTAGTCGCGGCCTGTGTCCGTTTGAGACGGGAGGCCGCTTGCCCCACGGCGGCCGCTCTCGGTCTGGGGCAGCCTTTGTTGTCGAGCATGGCGCCCACTTGTCTTCCGCACGGCGGCGGCACTGGAGAAGGGAACGTCTTTCTGCTGCCCAGACCTTGTCGCATTCCTTACTGTTCCAAGTCGAGGTGGGTGGCCTACGTTTGGCCGCCCATCGGTCGCGAGACCCTTCTCGGGCGTCCGCGATGATGTCTCGGACCGCGCGGCTCCTCTCGGGTCGGCGCTGGACGCCCCAGTGGCGGCGCCCACCCCGCCCCTGGCGCGCACGTGGCGCCAGGGAGACCAGTCCAGCGCCGATCCAAGAAATCTGCGTGGTTCTTCTCCTCCTCCTGCTCCTGCTCCTCCTGCTCCTCCTCCTCCTCCACCTCCTCCTCCTACGTCCTGGGACGCGGTCTGACCAGAATCTCGAGGCGGATCCAGCCGTGACCATGAGGGCGGCCCCGGCGACACGCTATGCCTTGCGATCGGATAGCGTGTCGCTCAGTACCGACACTGGACGACAAACCAGAAGATCATGTCATCAAGAAGCCAACATCTGGGCCTGGATGAGGTGAGGTACCGACGAGCGAAAACCTTGAAACCTCCACGAGTCTGCGGGCGAAACGCCCCTGACCCAGTGGGAGGATCGTGCGGCGCAGGCAATTTCGCGCCTCCGGGCGGGGAGGCCACGAGAGCGTTCCCCAGGGGCCCACATTGGGAGCCGAGAGGTTCGACGGCGATGACGAGGCGGCGACGCTGCCGACAGCGGGGGGCCGCTTGGCTGGCATGGCTGCCCGCGCCGAGGCCGCACCGACATCGCTGCCGACCGGAAGTTCGCGTCGAGAGGGGCGCAGAAGACATTCAAGGCGGCGCCAATCCTCTACGCGCTCCTCCTCGCGCTCCCCCCTGTGGAGCGTGCCGAAAGCGCGGCCAGAGTCCAGCAGGGCATGGGGGTGCAAACCCGACTCGTCTGGCCGATGCTCTGGGGAGGGGGGCCTGTGCCCCGGGGCAGGCTTCAGCACCGCTCCACGATGTGCTTGACGAACGAACAGTACACACACACACACCCATACCCACAGTCAAGGGGGACGGGGAGGGCTGTGGGTGCGTGTTGTCGGATGGGGGTGCCCGCTCGAACGGGAGCCTCCCTTGGGGTCCGGCAGCCCGCACCCATACTCATAGCCAGTCCTCCTCCGCTCGACCTCCCAATGGGTTATATGTGTGTTGTTCGTCCGCGCCGCCCTAGCCGCGCGCCTGGCCCTGCTCTGAGCGGGCTCGGCTTCCGTCTCCCTCCCGTTGCCGCCGAGCGCCTCCTCCTCCCCCCTCCTCGCGCATCGCGGCCTGATTCGCGCTCGCTTGTCCTACCAACGCCCTATGCGCCGGCGCAGTCTTTCTGCTTGGCCGCCGATGTAAAAATGTTGTTCGCTCGTCGGTTTATGATGTTCCAACCTACTTTAGCCTTGACCGCCTGAAAGAACTTCGAGCACCAGAACAAGTTCCGAAACTGGAGGGCTGTCACGTGTCGGGCCCGGAGAGACTCGTCCGACATTGTTTCGACACTCTCTCGACACCTTCCCGGGTGCCCGAACTTGTTTCTGGGCTGTGGTCCTTCAGCGCCATGGAAACAACATCATCGTCGGTGCTGTTTCTCAGGAGGGAAAATCACACAGACACAATTAATCGTCGACCCCCAGGAAAACATTGGAAAATATGGGAAGTAGGGGGGGCGACAAAAGCCCAGAAACTATAAGGAAATATGGGGACCATGTTTATCTGTGCGTATTTATTTGTGTGTCCCAGTTCCCCCTCAGGTTTCACCGGGCCCGCTGGGTGGGCCCCTTCTCTGCGGCGCTCTGGCGGGGCCCCTCTGGCCCCCACCGCTGTGCGGCCCCGCGCGCGCGCCCTGCCCCTCGAGGATCAGGAGGGACAAACATACACAGACACAATTAATCGTCCACTCCCAGGAAAATATGGGAAAATATGGGATGTGGGGGAGAAGACGAAAACCCAGAAAATATTGAAAATATGGGGAATCCTTTTATTTGTGTGTATTTAGTTGTGTGTCCTGGGGCCCGTTGAGTTGTGCTGCCCCGCGCGCGCGCCCTCCCCTCGAGGAGCAGAGCGCGGCTCGCGAGCAGGCAAAAGCCTGCCCGAGAGGCCCGCCGCGGGGCCCCTCGCGGGCCTGGCGCGGGGTCACCGCGCCGCCGCGGGCCGCCCGGAAAGGCCCCGCGCGGGCCTCTGGAGGTTTGTGTGTTCGCGTCGATGCTTTCGGGCGCCTGCCGAAGGCGTCCCTCTGCGAGAGCTTCGGCTTCGGCACCGCCTGTCTCCGAGGCTACGCCTCCTCCTCGGCCTCGCTCTGAGGCTCCGCCGCTTCCTCCCTCCTCTTCTCTGCCTAATTCAAGCTTCGCGCGGCCCGCGTAGCTTCGACCGGGAGAGGTGCGCTCTCGACCCGCGAATCAAAAAAAGTGTTTGCGTCGATGTTCTTTTCGAGAAGCGGAGAAGGGCATAAACATAGAAACTCGGAGGTCCGCGCGGAGATCTCGGATCCGCGCTGGACCCCCCCCCTGGCGGCGCCTCTGGGCGCCGTCATTGGCGCGCTCCGCGCGCCAGGGAGGGGGGTCCAGCGCGGATCCAAGACTTCCGCGCGGACCTCCGAGTTGTTATGTTTATGCTATTCTTCGTAAGACTATCAGGACGGCGGGTTTTCGGCCGCTTTCGGCCTCGGGGGGCCTTCGCCGGGTCTCGGGACCATCAAGACATGACTCAGGATGAAAAACCGGTCCTGGGGAAAGGGTCGGGACTTCCGTCGCATGTCTGGGGGCGTTGGTTAAGGGATGTGCCCGGGGGGGTTCTGACCCTGGGGCGACTGCGCGTAAGAGTGACCCTGACCCTTGGCCTGTCGTGCGGGCCCGCTGGGGTCTCCCGATCGCCGAGCGCGATGTGATGGCAGCGTCTGGCGCGATTGGGGTTGGCCCTCCCGCGACCCTGCGAAAGCCGCGCACCAAGGTTCACTCTTGCTTAGGGTCACTCTTGTGTGCAGCTGACTGGGGGATTCCTTGTGTAATCAGGGCGGCGGTGATATCCATGGACACTCCACGATTGGAGTTCCACAGGCTTCCGGGCCCTCACATGGGAAAGAGCGCCAGCGGATCACCTCGTAATTGAAAAGGGGGGATGCTCCCAGAACCCCCCCCCTTCCCCCCCTTCAAGGGGGGGGGACATTTTCGGACCCCTCCCCGCCCCTTGGCGCTGGAGACGGGGGGGACTCCCCCCCCTCCCCCCCTTTTGGCCAGGCGGGCGGCAAGGGGTGGGGGGCAGGTGGGGAGGCTCTCTCCGCTCCGGAGCGCTGGAGGCTGGCGTTCAGGTGGTGGTTACAGTAGAGGTTCGGCTTAGGGTAGGGTTTGGGGTAGTGTTTAGGGGTTAGAGTTAGGGCTTAGGGTTAATATTAGAGATTAGGGTTAGGGTTAGGGGTTAGGGTAGGGTATTCGAGGTCAGGGATAGGGCATAGGGTAGGGGTTAGGGATCGGGTCATGGTTAGGGGTGGGGCTAGGGGTTAGGGATCATATTAGGGTTAGGGTTTAGGGTAGGGGTTAGGATTAAGGTTCGGGGTTAGGGTAGGGGTTTGGGAAGGGCTCGGGGTTAGGGTTAGGGTTTCGGGGTTTGGATTAGAGCTTTGGGTAAGGGTTAGGGTTTAGGGTCAGGGTTCGGGGTTAGAGTTAGGGGTTAGGGTTAATTCTTAGGGTTGGGGTCAGGGATTAGGGTTAGGGTTAGGGGTTAGGGTTAGTTCTTAGGGTAAAGGTCAGCGATTCGGTTGACGGTCAGGGGCTAAGGTAAGGCGTACGGGGTAGTGTTCGGGTTTAGGGTAGGAGTTAGGGTTAGTGTGAGGGTATTTGGGGTTAGGGGTTCGGGTTGAGGTATGGGATTAGGGTTAGGGTTTAGGGTCGGGGTAAGGGTCAGGGTTTAGAGGTAGGGTAGGGGGTTAAGGGTGGGAGTTAGGGTTATGGTAGGAGTTAGGGTTGGGAATAGGGCTATGGTTAGGGTTTGTGCTTAAGGTTAGGGGTTAGGGTTGGGGGTTAGGGGTGAGAGTTTAGGGTTGATGTTCGCTTAGAGTCAGGGTAGGGTTTAGGGTTAGGATTAGGGGTTAGGTCTGGGTTAGGGTTTAGGTTATGGGTTAGGGTTAGGGCATAGGGTTGGGGTAGGGTAGGGGTTAGGGTAGGGGTTAGGGGTCAGGGTAGGGTTGAGGGGTCAGGGTTAGGGCTCAGGAATAATCTTAGAGATTAGGTTCAGGGGTTAGGGTAGGGTTTAGGGGTTAGGGTTAGGGCGTAGGGTTGGGGTTAGGGATTACGGTCAGGGTTAGGGGTGGGGCTAGGGGTTAGGGATCAAGTTGGGGCTAGGGTTTAGGGTAGGGGTTAGGGTGAAGGCTAGGAGTTAGGGTAGGAGTGAGGGAAGAGCTGGGGGTTTGGGTTAGGGTTTCGGGGTTTGGATTAGAGCTTAGGGTAAGGGTTAGGGCTTAGGATCAGGGTTAGGGGTTAGAGTAAGGGTAGGGGTTAAGGTTAGGTCTTAGGGTTGGGGTCAGGGATTAGGGTCAGGGTTCGGGGCCAGGGTTCGGGGTAAGGGGTAGGGTTCGGGGTAAGGGGTAGGGTTCAGGTTAGGGGTAGGGGTTAGGGTTAGGATCAGGGGTTAGGGTAGGGGTTAGGGTTCGGGTAGGGGGTAAGACGGTTAGGGCCCAGGGTAGGGGTTTGGGTGGGGATTAGGGTTTGAATTAGGGGTTAGGGTAGGGGGTTGGGTAGAGGTTAAGATTAGGCGTAGGGTAGGGGTTAGGGTTATGAGTGGGGGTGGGTGGGTTAGGGCTTAGGGGTTAGGACAGGGATTAGGTTGAGGGTTAGGTGTGGTAGGGATCGGGTCCCGGAGCCAGGGGGCGTCGTGGCGAAAGGGGGGGAGGGGGGGGTCCGAATATCACGCTCAAAGGGGGGGTCCGAATCTCACGCTCAAAGGGGGGGTCCGAATATCACGCTCAAAGGGGGGGTCCGAAGAAAGATCACGCTCAAAAGGGGGGTCCGCCGGCGACGGATCGGGAAATGGGGGGGGGGTCCGCCGGCGATGGAGCGGGAATGGGGGCGGAGGGGGGGGGGGGTCCGCCGACGACGGATCGGGGAAAGGGGGGGGTCCCGGACCCCCCCCCTCTTTGGGTGATCCAGCGACGCGCCCTCCTCAAATGGTCCCCTATCCAGTGCACTCCCCGTGCCAGCAGGCTGGAAGCGTATGCCTGAGCGAGAGCTGGGGGTACGCTCGCGTTCTCACGCCGCCTTGCCGCCCAGCCGCGCGCATGTGCAACCCATCGCAAGGTGGCCCTGCGCATGTGCAATCCGGCGCGCCGCTTCCACGTGCTCCGCAAGTGCATGTGAACCCACGTGTGTGCGCGCAGCTTCCGTCGGCGGCGGCGCGGCGAGCGCGGAAGCCGGAGAGCACCAGGCTTTCTCAGAAGGCCGTCGGATTTCGAAAAAGGCTTCGAACGCTTACCAGAAGGCATAGTCGCTGTCGCGCCCCCGAAGCCAGAACCCCTCCTCAATTACTCAATGTTCGCGCCCCCCTCGCAAATTGCTCAATTCTTGCCTCCCCGAGGCAACAAGCCTTGGCTAATTATTCAAGATTCGTGCCCACGTGGCAAGAAACCCTAGCAAATTCGGCTACACGCGTATTGCCGAAGCCACGAGACTGCTCCAGACCTTATGAGCCCTGCCTACTCTGCCTTGCCTTCCTCCCAGGCGCGCCGCCGATTCCTGGCCGGGTCCGCCCCGCCTCCCGCGCCTCCTCGGTGCAGCTGGTCCCCGTGTGGCGCTGCCAGACCGAAGGGTTGGGAGAGCCT